TGGGCTGCTCCCGGCCCCACTCCCCTCCGGTCTCCGCCCCACCCCGAGTCTCAGCCGTGGGACCGGTCCCTGCGTACTGGGCGGAACCCGGTTTGCAAAGCAGCTCAGCGTGCTGGCCCTGGGCCTGCGGGTTAACGCTTAACCTCGCTTCTGGAGCCCAGCCGCATCCCTAGCCCCCAACCTTTGGCCCCAACTGTCCAAACGAGGGGTAGAGGGTGAGGGAAGTCGGGTGAATCCCAGAGGCCTACCCAGCCCGATCGGGAGCTTTCCTCCCTGCTCACCGCGCCTGGCGGATGGGGCGTGGGTCCAGTGGCCTCAACTGTGACCGCATCTCTCCAGCCGGCTGGGGGTGGGGTGGTAGGCACGGACGCGGCCCTCCCTGGACGCCCTCTGTGGGCCAGACCTTCGGGGGGGCCGGGGCGGGGCTAGGGCTGGGAACTCCAGGGCACTCCAGGTTCCTAGGGTAAGTTCTCACGGGCTGCGCGCTCTGTGCCAGGGGCTACTGTAGAGTATCCAGTGTCCCTAGAGCGGAGAAGGGGAAGGGATTAACGCTGGGGGCAGGGCGTCTTTGGAGACGCTATGGACGATTCGAGAGAGCATTCCTGCATTCCAGGTGGGGAAATGGTGTGAGCGAAGGCGTGGAGGTGAGGAGCCCAAGTGGGGCTTTATCCTAAAGGTGCTGGAGCTGCCGCGCCTGCCCGGACTACAACAGCGCCTGCCCCGCGTCGCACCAGGGCCTACTGGCCACTCCGTGGTGCCTGTCCACAGCCTGTGTTGACTGACAATCGCTGGGCCGGATCTGGGGGCGGGAGCACTGAGGGAATCCGATGTACCCCCAAGGGAGTGTGCCAGGTGGTGGACACTATGAGTACGCCAGGGAAGTACCTGCATGGAGAAGGTGAGTTTGTGGGGGAAAGGGAGGGCCCTGTAGTCTGGTGATCAGGCATTTGGACGCCATCCCAAGGACAATGTGGCGCCAAAGTTTTGATGCCAGACTTGTTCAGACGAAGGCTTTAGAGAGTACTCAGGTGTCCACGCAGGTGGGTGGTAGAACTTGATAGGGGTGGGCCTTGTGTCCAACCAGAGGCCCTGGGCTGGAGAGGTAGGGCAGAGGAGGACCGGAGAAGAGCAGATCTAGTGGGAACCAGGAGGAAGAGGGACTGTTGGTCACCTGTTTCCCAAAGAGTGTCACAGGCCTGCTCTCCCAGAAACTCCACCTACTTCCCTCTGCCCTCTGCCCTTGGGGCTCTGGGGAATCCCCTTCCACAGGACTTCATCCCCCTCCTGGTTTTGCCTTTGTCCACAACTTGGCAAGTGACCCTTTATAAAAGTCATTTTTTCTATTTTTGCCTTTCTTCTGCCAGGACCTGGCCTTCCTCCAAGGGGAGGGGGAGGCAGGGATGATGCCCCGAGTTCTTCCTGGGCCTCCAGAGCCAGCTGTGTGGAGGTACTGGGCTGAGGTACCAGGGCCAGGAGAGCAGGGGTGGAGTCAGCAGTGGGGCCTTGGACAGGAGCTGGAGGCCTGAGCGGGCCAGTGGCATTTGGTCTCTCCAGCCAGGGAGCAGTGTTAGTACTGCCCAAGCACTGTGATGCTGGAAGCCCACAGGAATGGATCATGGCTCTCTTGGGTGTACACCGAGAACCCACTGGGAGACCAGGAAAGGAAACGAGGGAGTGGGTGAGGCTCCAATTCGCCTAAGTTGATCCAGACCTTACATGCAACCCCAGTAAAATTAGCTTCAGATAGTTTTATAAATACACAAAAATTTGCAGTGGCACATGCCTGTAATCCCAGCAGTTTAAGAGGCTGAGGCAAGTTCAAAGCCAGCCTCAGCAACAGTGAGGGACTGAGCAACTCAGTGAGACCCTATCTCTAAATAAAATACAAAGTAGGGCTGGGGATGTGGGTCATGGTCAGTGCCCCTGAGTTCAATCCCCTGTGTCTTCCCCAAAATTAAAAAAAAAAGGTAAACAAAAAATCTAAACTTCGTGAAGAAATAAAGATGCAAAGATGACTGGTCTTGAAAGGACTGGAGTAGAGTTTCTCCAAAGAAGATACACAAACCACCAATAAGCACATGGAAATAATCTGACACCACTAATCATTAGGGAAATGCAAATCAAAACTACAAGGAGAAGGTCTGGGATTGTGGCTCAGTGGCAGTGCACTTGCCTGGCATGTGTGAGGCACTGGGTTCAATTATCAGCACCACATATAAATAAATAAAGGTCTATCAACAACTAAAATAAATAAAGGTTAAAAAAAAAAAACTACAAGGAGATACTATCTCACACCCAATAGCTACTACCTGAGCAAATCAAGTGTTGGCATGGGTACAGAAGAACTGGAGCCCACTGCAGATGGGCACAGAAAATGGTTTAGTCGCTACAGAAAGCAGTGAGACAGTTCCTAAAAATTTAAAAATCACCATATGATCCAGAAATCCCATTTCTAGGCAAAATTCAAAGTGGGGACCTGAGCAGATGTCTGTACACCCATGTTCATATCAGCAGTGTTCACAGCATTCCCAAGGTGGCAGCAACCCAGTGTCCACAACAGAACAAAATATGTGTGTGTGTATAAACTGTGACTAAACCTTGCAAAGAAAGTGGGACACAGGAGCAGCGTTGACGATCCTCCATGCTGCACTGGGTGGAATGAGCCAGTCACCAGGGCCCAGCAGTCCACCTGCACTCATTTGAGGCCCCTGGAGTGATCAGAGTCACAGACAGAGGGTGTCGTGTCGGGGTAGGTGCCAGGGGCGGGGCAAGGGAGATGGCGAACTGGTGTCTAATGAGGACAAAGTTTCAGTTTGGGGAGATGGAAAGGTTCTGGAGCTGGAGGGAGGCAATGGCCCCCTGGCAGTGGGTCCTTAATGCCACTGGGTTGTTGCCTAGAAATGGTTCCTGAGTCCATGGTGTGTTTTGTACATTCTACTACAATAAAAAGGGATGAAGAGCCCATAAAACTTAGAAAAGGAAACAACACTGGTACACTGTCCTAGGACCAACCAGGACATTGTTTTCTTTCTTTCTTTTTTTTTTTTTTAGTTGTTGATAGGCCTTTATTTTATTTATTTATTTATATATGGTGCTGAGAATCAAACCCAGTGCCTCACACAAGCCAGGCAAGTGCACTGCCGCTGAGCCCCAGCCCCCGTCCCTGCCCCAACCACCAGGACATTTTGACAGCAGCTTACTGGACACAGGCCTGAGGTCATGGCCACTTAGAGTGATTTTTTTGTGCATGTTAAAATCCACGAGGAACAGGGATTGATCATGGTATTAGGGTGTTGAGACAAGAGGGTGGCCATCTAGGGAAAATGTGCCCTTGGACACCTATCCCCCTCCTGTGTAGGAACTCCATAAATCAGAAGTTTAAATGCAAAAAACAAAACCACAAAAGCATTAGAAGGAAATACAGGAGTTTATTTCATAATCCAAGGTTTTTGTAAGCATGACACAAAAGCAAAAGCCACAAACACATTCCTGAAAAGCGTAACTAAATTACCAATGGAAACAATTGCATTGACACAGTTTTAGAACCCAAGGACTGCGGCATGCTGGGGACGCAGGTCAGAACTCACAGGCCCGGCCAGAGATGGCTCAGCAAGCCAAGGACCCCACACCTGGAGGGTGCCAGTGGCTGTTGCCATGGGATGCTTAACTTCACCCACAATTAGAAATGGAAGGATGGAAGGGCTGCAGGGCAGGTGGGCAGCCCAACTACCAGCAGGAGTGTGAGTGCGTCAGGGAACAGGTACCGGCACAGGGCTTCCGCCTCCCCTGAGGCACTGCCAGAATTGTTTGGATGAGGATGCTACACTAGTGGGAATTTTGCTGTCCTTTTTTCTGTTTTGGGAAGGGGTCTTACTTTGTTGCCTAGGCTATTTTATTTTTATTTTTGTGGTGCTGGGGGTTGAACCCAGTGCAGGTGAGGCAAGCCCTCTACCAACTCAGCAATATCCCCAGCCCTGCCCAGGCTATTTTGTTGTAATCTTTAGGGGACAGGGTGTGGAGGTAGGAATCCCCAAGGGATGTTTCAGAGTCAAGAGGTCATGTGGATTGGGGTCAAGGACACCATGACCTCAGGGCCAGACAGGACCCAGCTGGTGCCTGGGGCTAGAGGCAGTATGTAGGTATCCCTTAGGAGCCACAGTGGGGCCAGCCCTGCCTGTGGGCCTTGCTCACCCACACTACCTGCCCCCACCCCACTCATGCCTCCACACCACTACGTTCCCACCCCAGTGCTGCTGGCCTTCCAGCCTCCTGCATTAGCACCCCACTGCTCCCCGACATTCACCCCCAAATCCCCTGCCCCAATTGCCCCCGCATCCACGTCCCCATTGCTCCTCTGTGTCCATACCCCCTGTCTACTCTCCATCCCCCATGTCCACTGTCCATCTCCCCTTGTGTCCGCTCTCCATCATCCCTGTTTCCACACCCCCATTGCCTTCTGCATTCATGGCTCCATCTCTGGCTCTGGGCTTATGAGACCAGTCTGGATGGGACACTGATGATGTGTAGGGAGAGACGTGGGGGATCCCTGAGTTCCTGTCTGAGCGTCTGATGGGCACAAAGCCAGCTCTCCTCCTGGCCAGGCTCCTTCCCAGCCTTCACCCTCCACACACAGAACTCCACGGTTCCCCTGGTGGACAAAGCCAGAGAAGTCGCAGAGCTACTTCCTGCGAGAGTTTGTGATGCTGCAGGAGCCATCTTGTGACCAAGAAGAGACTGCCTGGAGCACAGCAGAGGCGATTCCAGGTCCGGTGCACCTGAGCTGGGCCCAGCTGCAGAAACTCTTTCTTCTCATTAAATGAAAGAAGCACAAACCCCCTGTTGTTGAAACAATTGTCTTTGGAGTTTTTTCTTTTAATTGCAAATGAAACATGCATTTAGCGTAGTGTGGTTAGCTTAGCTCCTTCCAAACTCTCTTCCTTGAATACTGGTGAGACATATTTCTAAGAAATACATGTCCATTTTGGTGATATTTGCACAGATAATTTTTAATAAAAATGTGTTAGCTCTGCCTTCCACCTCCATCCCCCGATCTCCATAACTACTGACTTGGAGCCCCAGAAACTACCATGAACTCTCTTTCTGGGGAGGGTGACATTGGGAGGAAGAACCTTTAACTCTCCCCTACTAGGCTATGAATTCTTCCATCTTGCATTCCTATAAGGAAATCCCTGAGGCAGACCACTTTATAGAGAAAGGATTCCCACTGCAGAGGAAAGTGGCTCTCAGACCCTCTCTGGGCCTAGTCCCCCAGAGAGGGTAATTGCAGAGTTGTGTGAATGAGTGGAGGTTGGGAATGAGCCTCCACCTAAAGGGGAGCTGGGCTCTGTGCCCCTGAGGCAGGTCATTTAGGCTCACACTTCTGGAGGCCAAGGTCCAGGGCTGCGTCTGGTGATAGCCCTCTTGCTAGAAGAGTTCCTGGTGGTGCAGGGCCTCACGTGATGAAACGGGGAGCACACGTGTGCGAGTGTATGCTTGCACACTGGTCTCTGAAGCCACCAGCATGCAGTCCTGTGACCTCCACTAATCCTAATCTGCTCCCAAGGCCTTTCTGACACTGTAGTCAGATTAGGTTTCCTCCCTTTAGACCTGACGAGGGGGGCTCAATTCTACCACACGAACCCTGGGGGCACTGAAACCAGGCCAGAAACCCTGGAGCACGCGTCCTGGCTGCCCCACACCCTGGCCAGGCGCCAGCCCTGGGAAGGAGGGCCTGGAGGCAGCTCTGAGGTGGGTGCCTGGTGTTAAGAAGGTCTCAACGAATTTGAAGATCAGAATAATGGAGTATGTCTTCTGGTCACAGTGCAATTGTGCCAAAATATCACAGGCAAGGTGGCAGTCCTGGAAAGTGAGCGTGGACACCTGCCTCTCGTCTCTAGGAGTGGCAGCTCCTTGAGTTCCTCTGCCTTCTGGGAAGGCCCCTGTCTGCCCAGACTCCTGCAGGAACCGGTCCCCACCCCAGGCTCACCTCGGGCTGCCCACCTGTCTCGACTGCCTTCTTGCCCCAGCTGCTGCGCTACCTGTGGCCAGTCCCCACCAGGGCGGCCACCCCCAGAGTGCCCTCACCTCTGTTTCCTCCCTAGGTGGTCTTGTCCTTGGGCAAGCACTGGCCATCCTCCCAAGCCTCCCAAGAAGCCTGCAGGACAGTCAGCCACACGTCTGCAGGAGTGGGAGGCGTGGAACTAGGTGGGCCAAGACTTCCACCCTGGGACTGTTAAAATGAGCCCGTGGACCAGGTGGACCTAGCGGACCTAGCCACACCAGTCCAGGGGGCAGCTGTCCAGAGGGACGGGAGCTCCTGGCCCCTAGTGGAGATGCTGACTTATTGTGTCCTGCAGGTGCCCTGTAGAAAGCAAGAAAGGGGCCAGAAGTGTGAGCAGGGACTCTCACAGGCAAGGACCCCCTCAGGAAGCCCAGGAGGCAGAGGCCGAGGGCGAGCGGTGGCTCGAGGCAGGACTTCCATTTGCTTCACTGGCTTTTAGGATGGGGAGCCTGCAGTGGTGGAGCCAGCAGCGGGTGGAGGTGCTGGGGCACTGGGAGCTTGGTGGGGACGGCTGGAGGGGTCACAGGCCACCAGCAGAGAAAGGCAGCACTCTCCAGAGCAAGTGGAGGGAGGCTGCAGTGATTGAGCACCACTGTGTGCTGCCCCCAAGCCCTGGCCTGGCCTTCACACCACCTCCACTTGAAGGTGATCACAGGCAGCTCCTGTGCTGAGCTGGGCATGAATGGTGGCAGCAGGTGTGCACCCAGAGTGGCTGGCATGGCTCCTAAACAGGCCTCTGGGCATCATCCCCCAGACCCAGGACTTGGGGCCTCCCACCTACACGCATCAGCCAACGCGGCTGGACTTTCTGAAGGTCTTGGTGCTTCTCTTCCCAGGACCTCCCCTCCCAGCAGGCAGGGACCAGCCATCGACCCCCCACCCTTGGAGGGAGTGGCTGGTGTGTCCACAGGGACAAACCCAGGGTAAGCAAAGACACAGGGTGTAGAGGGGCACTGCCCACCGTGGGGGTCAAACAGTCCAACCCCTGTGACTCCAGTCTCCACTCCGGTGGGGCCACGTGACAGTTGGTGCAGGACAGCCACCAGCCTGTGAACACAACAGAGGTGCAGACGTTGGAAGAAAAGGGTACCAAGCCACCTCATGTGCATGAATACAGGAGGCCTGTAAACCACGTCCTCAGCAAAACAAGCTGGTAAGTCGTCCAGAAGAAAATATTCAGTGATCAATGGTTTTTTCTGTGTTAATAATGAGCTACTAGCAATGGAAATGGAAAATCTATCTTTATAAGAGTGAAAAAATAGAACATGCTTAAGAAAATCACTAAGGAGGCACAGAACCTAAATGAAAAAAAAAATGGAATGAATGATATAAAACAGGATCTACACAAAGGAAATGCACTACCAGCTAGAAGCCAGGAAGGTGGGCATGGTGGTAAGATGACCCAACTCTTACATGGAAGAGAAAGTGGCCAAGAACAACCAAGCCCAGAATGGGGAAGAAGAGTGAGGGATGATGCCTTCCAGATAGCTGCAGAAAGTCTCTAAGGCTACTCCAGCCCAACATGCATGGTGTTGATTTAGGACCAGCAAGTAGATTAATGGATCAGAATTGAAATCCTCTAAACAGACACATCTGACAGAGAGAAAGGTAAACTCAGAGGGAAAGGACGGGTCTGTTGTTCAATGAATAACACTGTGCCAGCACAATGAGATCACCTCTCTAAGAAAAATTCACATAGCAGGCAAATATTAAAACCAGACCTTACAAATACTGGAACACAGAAGTAAAAAAGGTGGGGAAAAACATGCTGTGGGAAGAACTGGTGCAAGCCAGGAGCCTGGAGCTCCGCAGGCGTGCCAGACCCCGGTGTGCAGAAAGACACCCAGACAGGCTCCGCGAGGAAGTGGAAGGCTGGGAAGAGAGACGACAGTCGAAGAAAGCACAGCACAACAGAAGGGTCTCTCGGAAATTCATGGGAAATCAGAAAAATGGACCAAGGGCAGTTAGTGATTCACTGAAAGGCAAAGATGAGCGGTTGACAAACATGTGAAGATGCTCAGATCCACCAGCCATCGGGGAAGTGTCGATTGAAGCACCCACCAACACGGCTCCATCCCAGGCCCCCAGAATGCAGTCAGGCTAGCCAAGAGTGCCAGGGCTGGGGACCAGCACGTGCCGACGGCAGAACGAGAATCATTATGGCCTCCTTGGAAGCAGTCTGTCAGCCGTCTTTTTAATACAATTAAAAAGACCAAGGGATATGACCCAGCAATCCCCTGAGAATTTCTGCCATAGAAATAAAACAGGGCTGGAGTTGTGGCTCAGGGGTAGAGCGCTTGCCTCGAATATGTGAGGCACTGGGTTTGATTCTCAGCACCACATATAAATAAAAAATAAAGGTCCATCAGCAACTAAAATAAATAAATGAAATTTAAAACACAGAAAGAATACATGTTCACAGCTGTCTGGTACAGCATTGTTCACAGTGGCAAAACAAAACAAAACTATGGGAAATAATGTGAGTAGAAACATATGTAACTGATTCCTTCATTCACTAGTGCACTTACCAATTACATATGGTACCCTGTTCCATGTTTTTAAGATTCCAGGCTGAAACAACAAGCAAACCAAAGCTCTAGCCCTTAGGGAAGGTTTTTTTTTTTTTT